ATTTGACTTTTGGCAATTTTGCAAAAATGGTCAACTTGGCCAATGCATAACTCTCTCAATTTTGACCCTAGAGAGGTGTTCTTGGACTTTTTAGAAAGCTTAGAGTTTTCTATAAACAACCCTTTTGGTCTCATCTCAATTGAGTCTTCCATGTTCTTGTATGAAGCTTTGACCCAAAAGGTGTTTTTATTGACTTTTCAAAAGGACCTATAATGTCAAAATTCATATCTCTTTGTGAGTACATATTCTGAACTTGGGAGATGAAGATGAATTGTAGGGAATTGCATCCTCTTCAAAATGAGCTTTGGATGGGTCATTTATGATAAAGTATGAGAAAGTTATGCTTGGTCAAAGTTGAGTTGACTTTTCCTATAAAACCCTAATTTAGCAACTTTTGGGTTTTGATGAATTATGAGCAATCCTTGAGGAATCATGATCAAACCTTAATCAAATGATGAATAACACTTCAAAATGAGGATATTGACCAAAAATCTTAAAGTTTGATTGTATGTGGGCCACAGTTGACTTTTGACCTAGCATAGTTGATTTTACGGCATTTGATTGATTGATTGAGCAAACTTCTTCTGCAAGGCTTAAAACTTGACATGGATGATCTTGAGAACATATTAGGACAATGGTGAGCATTTGAGTCCTTGAGAAATTTGAGGTATGCTGCCTTGGGAGAGAGTTTGTCTTGTCAACTCTTGGACTTCCTTGAGCAATTTGGGGACCTCACTTGCCATGTGTTGAGAAATATGGGAGGAAATATTTTGGGGTACAACATCTGCCCCTGTTCAATCTTCTTAAACCTGAGGATGTAGATTGGCTCGTCTGCCTTTCGTGATCTGAAGGTGGAAGATGATTGAACACTAGAGTGCCCAGAAATTTGCACTCACATGAAGTGGCACTTGATTTGTGATATCGGGAATGGGCTTATAGATGCCATTTGGAATTGCTAGAGAATTGTCGGAAATTGGCTTAAAGATGCCATCCGAAGAGGTGTCGATCTCATAAGAGATTCCTTTGCGAGAACCCGTATACTTGTTGTTGAGGAGGACTACGCTGGGGGATGTTGGTCTCTATTTTGGGGGAAATAGAGTTTTAGGAGCTTCAGTTGTTCGTTACTCTACTGGGGAATAAATCTGGTTTGGGAAGCGGAAGTGAACTGCGTGTTTGGTCAGGGTATATGCTGCACCGTGACTTTCTGGGGAAATGTGAAATCAATTGTGTTTGATTGGGTCCCGGTCTTAACAGTGTTGTGGACTGTTGTCTGGGGATAAGAGAGGAAGAACCCAGATAGTAAGGTTATGAGAAGGAACCTGGATGGTAGGGTTACTTTGATATGAAAGCCGAGATAGTAGGGCTGTGAGAAGGAACCTGGATAGTAGGGTTACTTCGAGATCAAAGCCTGGATAATAGGGATGTGAGAAGGAACCAGGATAGTAGGGTTACTTCGATATGAAAGTCTGGATAGTAGGGCTTGAGAAGGAACCTGGATAGTAGGGTTACTTCGATATGAAAGCCTGGATAGTAGGGCTTGAGAAGGAACCGAGATAGTAGGGTTACTTCGATATGAAAGCCTGGATGGTAGGGTTGTGAGAAGGAACCTTGATAGTAGGGTTACTTCGATATGAAAGTCGGGATAGTAGGGATGTGAGAAGGAACCTGGATAGTAGGGTTACTTCGATATGAAAGTCGGGATAGTAGGGCTTGAGAAGGAACCTGGATAGTAGGGTTACTTCGATATGAAAGTCGGGATAGTAGGGTTTGAGAAGGAACCTGGATTGTAGGGTTGCTTCGAGATGAAAGCCTGGATAGTAGGGCTTGAGAAGGAACCTGGATAATAGAGTTACTTCAAGATGAAAGCCTTAATAGTATGGCTGTGAGAAGGAACATGGATAGTAGGGTTACTTCGGTATGAGAGCCGGGAAAACTGCAGAGAGAACCTGGGCGAGGTTTCCTTGTGATGAGTCGGTGTGGGACTGCTGAAAGAAACCTGGGTAAGGTTACATTTGTCACACCTATGATTACTCTGTTTAGCTTCGAGTGTTGATCATGGACTTGCTGGAAATTGTTGATAATAACTGTCTTTCCTGCAAGAAATACAAGGTTAGTTATGTGCGATGCATGAGATGCATTGTGATGAGATTCTTAAAATAACTGAGATTATGTTATATGTAATGGATGCACATGTCATGATGTATGAACATGAAATGCTGACGTGATATTTTGAGTCCGGGAAAATAAATCCCTGACTGCTGTTTGGAGAGTATGAGAAATAGTATTCTTGACTGCTGTAAAAAACATAGTTCCTCTACTTCTGTTGGGGATGGTGAACAAATATGACTAACTGGGGGTTCACATCCATTCGGCTGGTGAATGTTCTGTCAGAAAAGACCCTGTCTGAGGATAACTCTGTGGGGAATAACTTTAATGGAGAGGAGATACTCTGTTGATAGATCTGCTGATTTGGAGAAATAAACTCAGCTGAGGATGAATTTCTGTTGATGGTTATAATGAATTCTGTTGGAGATTGAATTTCTTCTTGTGAGAGAAATAAAATCTGCTTGGGGAAAAATTTACTGACTCACTCGCGATTGTGAACCTTAGTCGGGGAGAGTTATATCCTGTTCGAGAAAGCTAACATCGCTGTCTTTGGCTATTTTTTACTCTGTGGGGAGTGTATGTACCACTGCTCATGTTCTCAAGCTGGCTCTATCCCGGTACCTGATGGGCAGAGTAACTGTAAGGTTTGGGCACTTCTTGTTTTCCCTGTTTCTAGCATTACGAGTAATCGTCTTTTGTTTCTTATGTAAATATTTATGAGTAGCAATCATTTTCAAATGCATATATCAAAAATGAATCATTGGACGCTCTTGCAAAACAAAATAGAAAAAGAAAAACAAATTGAAATTTCTTGTGAATATGAATTGTATTGACTTTTAAAATTTGCCTGTAATTGGCGTTTTTGTACAAGGAGGTTGATGTCCTAGTAAGAGAACGCCGCCGAAAGACAGAAATTATACAATTTGTGTAAAAGAAAAAAAAACAGCTATGTGAAACAATCCCATTGGGTTCCAACTCTGCTATTGCCTTTATATCTTCAAGCGTCTCATCACTTTGCTGCTTGGCCGAAGGTGGATCAGATTGATTGGCGCCTTCTGAGCTTGATATTAGATATCGAAGTATGGTTGCAAGATGATCCAATGAGACATAGTGTTACACTTTGATCCCTAATTTTTTCCTGGACCGCCCTTTCGGGTTTTCAGTCCACCGGGATACCCTTTTTGCCCAAGTCGCCTTTTCAGGTTTTCGACTTGCCGGGTGTACAGTTTTTTAATTTTCATCCCTAACTTTTCCCTAAACCCTTTTGGTTCGTCGGGAAGCCCTTATTTTTACCTAGGCTAGTCAACCTAGAGGGTCTTTGATTATGCGTAGTATCTTTTCACTATGTTTACATTGACGGGGTGAGGAAGTTCGTCACCATCCATGGTGGTTAAAATCATAGCTCCTCCCGAGAAAACATTCTTAACCACAAATGGCCCTTCGTATGTGGGGGTCCATTTGCCCCTGGGATCACCTTGCGGTAGTATGAAAGCAAACTCTTGACAAAATGTGGGGGTTTGATTTCAAAACCCTTCCCCACTTGACAGACTCGATACACAAGAGCAGGCACAACTCCTAAGCATCATGGTGCGTCACGATGTAAGGATGATACAGACGAAATTGCGGGGGTTGATTGCGAACCCTCCCCACTCACCTGTTTTTTAGGACTTATCACTATACATATGCAGGAAAAAATATAAACATATGTGCGGAATACCTACTCCAAAGGTATGGTTTTGAACAAACACAAATAGCACGCAAAAAGCAAACAATGCGGAATTTCCTTAAACGAGTCTATAAATAAACCAGAGGGATTCTTGACATGATCAACAACAGAGATCTCATCAAGCATCTCTACCCAACTTCTCATGGAAAAGAAAGCAGTAAAGCCCCACTTCTCATGATCTCTAGAAAAGAAGTAAAGAAATGCAATAAAGTGCGAAAAAGTACAAAGGTAGTAGCGGTGACTACCATAAGCAACCCAATCGTCGAAAGCAGGCGAAAGCAATGGAGAAGCAGGGAATACGCGTCGAGCAAGCTTCACCAAGAAACAAACAAAGTTACAAATATTATACAACTAAGATAAAAGCAAACGTGTATTGTGAATGCAACGCATAATCAGAAGTTCTTGCACTAGGTATCACAAAATATCACATGCATCTGAACAACATATAATATGATATGAATTTCTCAGGATGATGAGAAATAAGGTGTGTCGCATCAGAAGCGAGCATAAGTCATATGATTCGATCACATAACAACTTGTTATGTTACATGATCGAAAGCATAAAAAATGTACCTTCACAATGAGCAAGCGCGTCAAAAAAATAATGAAGCACAACAGTATGAAAATATATACAAAACTAAAAGAAAAGTATTTTTTTTTACTAGTTTTTTTTGTGTGGAAAAATTCCGTCAAAGACTAAAAATTAATTCCTAAAATTGACTAAAAAGTTCTAACAAATTTTATTAATTTTACAATTTTATCCTAACAAAAGAATAGGAAAAAAAATTAAGGAAGATACTAAATTCTACAAAGAGATAGTGTGCTCAGGGCGTGTTAAGCTAGAGTCAGGGGGTGCTATAGGAGAAGGGCGCTAGGCTCATAATGAGAGTCCAGAAGCATTTTTTTAATGTTATAACAAACAAGCCTTTACAAATTAACGGGTCTAGGGAAAGAGAATCTGGTCAAGCCCAAAATCTTTAGAGATCCATCCTCAATATTTTTTTATATTATTATTTAATAACAAAATAACTAAAAAAATTATAAAAGAAAAGGAACTTAGGGTTAAATTGAGTGTGACGCTTCATCTTATTCCAAACAAAAAGAATCTCTTCATCCCCATCTCATCTGTCGCTCAAGCTCTCGTCTCCGATCTCGCTCATCTCTGGTGATGATTCCAGTTTCAATCGTGAATACAAACTACACCATAAATCTTGTCTCATCTTCATCGGTGCTAAGAAAATTCGATGTATGTGCCTCCGTCTCAATTCGGAGCTTCATCTCAACCTACCTTACTTTATCTCTTTTCTGCTTGTTTCTCCAACTCAATCGTCTTTTGGTCAATGCTTCAGACGCAATCTCATCTCAGATTTCGCCCCATCCTCTTCATCTTCATTTGCGGCCCGCTTGGTTTCGATTCGATGTAAACATAAATATGACAACATACTTAATGGAGAAGAAAGAGACATGGAGCCTTCCCTGTAGGAGTTCGTCTGATGCGTCTTTGACAGTGATTACGAAGACAAGAAAACCAGGTATGCGTGTGCGTTAATATTTTGATTCTTCTCTCCGATTCACACTTCTATTTCTTTTGCTTCTATTGAATTTTTATGATTATGCAAAGATGGGATTGTGATTCGTGATTTTGCATTTGTTCTTGATGCAAAAATAGTGATTATGGTGCTGAAGTGGATTATGGAGGAAGATGCAGAGGATGTTGATTGTGAAGATATGATTACATTGAAACTGGAAGAAGACGCTTGATGAAGAAGTGATAGTCGCAATTATGATGATGAAGATGAATCCTTGTGAGGATTATTTGTGAGCAATTGTAGAGGAAAAAATGTTGAGAGAGATGAGGTAGAGAGAGATTTTTTAGTTCTGCAAATGAAGAATGAAGGTGATAGTGAAAGAGATTGAAGGATGTTGAGAATTACTGAATTGATGAATCAGAGGGAGAGTTTTTGAAGAAAAAGCCCCCGACGAGTTTTTTCTGAAGGTTTTTATTATCGTGAAATTCCTCCTCTCTTTTCTGATATATGCTTGTTAGATTTTTTAGAGAGTCGGTTAGAGGATAGAAATCTGATTCTAAAGGTTGGGATTCGGCTAGGATAGTTAGAGGGTTAATCAGTTGGAAGTTAGAATTCGGTTAGAATTCCGTTTCTATTTTCTGTTATTTTAGTTTTTCTGCTCTGATTTAATTCTTTTTCTTTGTATTCTCTGAGTTATGATTTAATTTTCAAAGGTGTGTTGTTTCTAATTTATATGCTTTTGTATATGCAAGGCACGGTTTATTTAATGCACCAGTGGATGGGAACTAGGCTGTAAGTCGATCGGTAAGTTGCAGGTTATGTTTGTTATAGGTGGCTAAGAATTAGTTGAAACAAAAATTTTAGAGGGAGAGATGTTGAAAATAAAGTAGAATCTGTTATGGAAGTTATAAAATTCTGTTATAGGTAATTGATGATGAGAAAGAGAATTGGTTAGATGTTAGTTTTAGAAATTCATGTTAGTTTTTGTTCGTTATTTGCAGACTGGATCATATGGTATGGGGTTGTTTGTGAACCCTTCTTATTTATGAGTTTAATACCAATATGCTGAAGTTTAATACCGATATACTGAGTTGTGATTTTTTTGACTTTTGAACTGGTGCATGTTATAGCATAGTCTCGAGTGTCATTTCTAGCAGGAAGCAATAGATTTTCCTCAAGTCTTCATATCAGTTTGGAGAAGAATTAGCAATGACCATGTAGGTCAATGTAGGTCAATCCATTGATCGAGCCGTTAAAATTGATCAAGTCAATCGAGTCAAAATGTTTCCTCTTAATCCCTTGAGATTTTTGAGACATACTTCTACATAATTTAATTAGGAATAATTTAATCTAATGTTGTGAGAGAGAATCTATTTTATTTTTTAGATAAGTATAGAGGTAAAGGTTAATGTTCTTTATATAATTCTTTAGTTCCATGTTTACAAAAACACTTCTATGCTTGATGTGACCTAGAATATATGCAACTAATCTCAACATGTTGATGTATTTTATAGTTAGTGTAAATATTCTTTATCTCCATGTGATTTGATGTAGTTTGATTACATATTCTATCTATCTAGCTATATTGCTCAGTTTCCTTCATATAGATTTTTGGATCAAAATAGGAACACCCTTTTGCCATATGCACAATTAATCTCTTCGATGCTTTATTGTATTTGCTCTCATAACGTCAAAATATAATATTCTTTACCCAATTGCTAAAGAGTTGAAATGCTCTTTAACTTTGAACCTTCATAGTAGTTCTTTGGGTCATCTCTTTAAGTTATTCCTACTGGCTTCTTAGTGATAAAATCTATTAGATTCTTTGCTTTTTATTTGTACATTCCTTATGTAAAAATGTGCTACTTTCCTAATCCGCGGATAAATCTCAAATTTCTTTCTTTTAGTACGCACTTAATTAATTATGCATTAATTAATCACCAATCCATGTTACGATTAAATCAATCCATGATACGATTAAAATAGTACTTTAATTTCTATTGCCTATGCATATGTCCCTATGAGCTAAGGGTGTTCGCGGTACGATTTTTGTGATTTTGAAATAAAAAATTATTGGAATCACAAAAAAAAAAAGCATGCGATTTGGTATGATTTAATTGGTTTTTATAAATAAAACCGAACTAAACTAAACTAAATCAATGCGGTTTAGTTCAATTTGGTTGGTTCGGTTTTTTTAAATTTTTTTATTAAATCATACATATACATATAGATGATAACATAACTTTGTGTTTAGTCATTCATACATTTTTAAATAACAACAAAATTCGAGCTAGGATTGCATATATTTGAGCTATCAAGATATGTTTGAAGGGGTATCGACTAGTGCGCAGATACAGAATGGAGAAATAGACGATCTTGCCATTATAATTGGTTTTCATCTAGGTTCAACCCTAAGGCCCTATCTTTTTATCTTAATTTTGGATGTACTCACGAAATACATCCAAGAGTTAACACCGAGATACATGTTTTTTGCATATGATATAATCTTTCTTGGAAATTCGAAGATGAAACTACGCGGCCAAAACCTGTCATCTGGATGTTAATGAAACATCATTGAAGTCGCCACCTAACGTCTTTTATCCCGCCGAAAGGGAAAGGTAAACATCGAGAAAACTTAGAAAAGGAGAAATCGCGGTCTTTCAACCGAGAGATCGGGTAAGGGAGTCTGTTACGCGAGGGGAAGGTGTTAGCACCCCACACGCCCATAGTATTCTACGGTATCCACTTTTGTTGTCTAATCTAATGGGTGTGGTCAAATCCTATGTCTATGGCTTCCAACTGAAAAGGGAATGCATGCGAAAGGAAAAAGAAAATAATGTAGGGAAAATAATAATTGTGCTCGGTTGGGCCCTACCCCAATGCCTACATATCCCTTTTAAGGAATCAGAGCAGTTGTAGTTCGGCTTACATGTTTTGGTTGATTTGTGTTTTTTAGTTAAGATAACAAAAACAGGTAGGATGGCAAAACATCAAATAAAATAACAAACAAATGAGATGGTCAAACATTGACTAAATAATAACAAGATAACATGTCAAAGATGGCGAAACATCAAATGATAAAACAAATCACACCTAACAATGACATTGAGAGTCAAAGTAGGATAACCAACATGTGTAATGACGAAATATCGGCTTCAAACAAATGTGCGATGGCGAAACATTGGCTAAAAGATAACAAAGTCATGGCGAAGATGGTGAGACATCAATAAAACGAATGACCAAACATCACACCTAACAATGATATTGAGAATCAAAGTAGCATAACAAACATGCGCGATGGGGAAATATCGGCTTCAAACAAATGTACGATGGCGAAACATTGATAAAACAGATGATAAAACATCACACCTAACAATGATATTGAGAATCAAAGTAGGATAACAAACATGTGCGATGGAGAAACATCGGCTTCAAACAAATGTACGATGGCGAAACATTGATAAAACAGATGATAAAACATCACACCTAACAATGATATTGAGAATCAAAGTAGGATAACCAACATGTGCAATGACGAAACACCGGCTTCAAATAAAATGTACGATGGCGAAACATCGGCTAAGAGATAACAAGGTATCATGGCAAAGATGGAGAAACATCAACAAATCGGATGACGAAGCATCACACCTAACAATGATATTGAGAATCAAAGTAGGATAAAAAACATGTGCGATGATGAAACATCGGCTTCAAACAAATGTGCGATGGCGAAACATCGGCTAAAAGATAACAAAATCAAGAGACGCACAAACAAATAGGATTGGTTTGTATCTTTTATCTTGAAGAAGGGTGTGAGTTTATTAGAAGTATCTTATGATTTGCCAAGAAAACAACTTTTTGTTTTAAGATGCAGAATGCGTAGAAAGGGAAAACAACTAAGGGAAACTAACCTAGTATTATCCCTGGTGTTATCATACCATGGTTGACCCTAAGGTTGAGGATAAAGGAAAATCCTACCCTATGTTATCATACATGGGTTCCTACCTTAATTAACATGTCAAAGAAAGCTTAACAAAATTATCCTATAGGGAACATGCAATGAGAGCGAAGTCGTGATCTCAATTTCTAAATTGAGTGACTCATCGATCAACAATTAAAGAAGAAAAGCAATAAACATCCTATAGGAAACATGCACTGAGAGCGAGGTCGTGATCTCAATTTCTAAATTTAGTGGCTCATCGATCAACAATTAAAGAAGAAAAGCAATAAACATCCTATAGGGAACATGCACTGAGAGCGAAGTCGTGATCTCAATTTCTAAATTGAGCGACTCATCGATCAAAAACAAACACAACACATGCATCAGACAAAAACCAGAGCGCCTCCTGACATATATCAGCAACAAAGGTCCCATCATGCAGTCAGAGATTTATGCAAAATAAAGATGGGAGAAAGGAAGTGGTATAATACCAAACAGATAACTATCTGTAGCAGTCAAGCAAGAATAAAAGAAACCCAGAGAAACTTCAAGCAAGCTGGCATCAATAGACAAATTGAGTCAGGAATTACACCATTAGGATGTAAGCAATTTATCAGATATGAACAAATCCCAGGGGGAATGTACAACATTCACAATAAAATGTATATGTCCTGCATGGAATATCAAATATGCCAAATACGATAGCAGTGCCAATATGACAAGTTGTGTTTCACAACTAAAGTGAAACACAAAAGCCTTAGGTCAAAAGTGGAAACTTTCTTAGAGTACCTCGCATATTCAACAACCAAGTTAGTATTCCATAAGGTGAATGATGGCTCATACATGGGATGGATGCAACATGATGAAGTGAGAACAACATAATAACAATTATTAAACATGATAGAAAAAGAGGACACAGGCATATGCACAGATTAGGTCAAAAGAATCAGAGAAATGTTGCTCCTTTCTATCACCATGTTGAGTTGACAATTGAATATCAATCAAGGATCATAAGAGCTTGAGAATAAAATGAACAAAGACCATGAAGGTCAGCAGCAAACACATTTTAATCATGCACAATTAATTCAATCACAACTTTATGAACAAATAAAAAATGGAACCTACATAATGCACTAGAAGGTTCAAACATTCAAACATGAGGCATTCAAATGAAATGGCTTAAGCTAACATGGACAATCAGAATCAACATTATCATTAGGTTCCCAATTATAGGCCTCACTCAAGTTCATTGGCCATCAAACAAATGGCAACAAGACATGCAAACATAATTG